ACGGGTCGGAAGTGGGTACTGAAAGCTCAGCCCACTAAGTGCAAGTGAGGACCCATAAACCCCTCTGAACTCGGCCTTTAAACCACACCAACCTCTTCTACCCAAACCCCTTTTGCTGCTCCCGTCCCTACTTTCCTCTGTAACAAACCCACCCCAATCAAAATGGTCACCTAGAATTTTCGTTTTCTGGCAGTGATGTCATTTACCACCTAGAATTAAGCCCCCACAAAAAGCCATGGCCTTTAATATGTGCACCTTTCTTCAGAAGTGCTGTCCCTGTCACTGTCTATGGAATGCAGATATTTCAGAAGAGCCCATTAACCTCCCAAATAAAAACAGACACAAATTAACATTTTATTTTTTATTCCTTAACTTACAAACTATAAAAAAATCCCATGGCTTTTGATCTGTTTACGAAGTCCCCACCCCGCAAAAAAATAAGACAGAAGGTGGCAGTGTTGACTCATTTAAGAGAAAAGACACCCTAGCCAACCAAATAACACTGCATGCAAAGAATTCTAGAGGACGCATTGGTTATAGCAAGAAGAAATAATACAAACAAGCAAGTTAATCATGTTAACCTAACTTTAGGTTGAACTGAAAGCTTAAAAACAACACACATACAGGGTAACAGCAAGGTCCTTAAGTCTCCTCTGGGACAAATATGAAAAAGATAAGGTAGGGCCCCTAATCCACCTCCTCGATGGTGGGGCCAGAGCCAGAACCCCCTTTGGGGGCCTGAGCCCCAAAGCCAGCGGCTCCCGGGCCTCCCGCCCCCTGGTACAGTCCGCTGATGATGGGGTTACACACCTGCTCCAGCTCCTTCCTCTTGTGCTCAAACTCCTCCTTTTCCGCCAGCGTGTTGGAGTCCAGCCAGGAAATCACCTCCTGGCACTTGTCGAGCACCTTCTTCTTGTCGGCCTCGCTGATCTTGCCTTTGAGGCCCTCGTCCTCCACGGCGCTCTTCATGTTGAAGGCATAGGACTCCAGGGCGTTCTTGGCAGACACCCTCTCGCGCTGGACCTCGTCCTCGGCTTTGTACCTCTCAGCCTCCTGCACCATGCGCTCGATGTCCTCCTTGCTCAGGCGGCCCTTGTCATTGGTGATGGTGATCTTGTTGGCCTTGCCGGTGCTCTTGTCCATGGCGGTGACGTTCAGGATGCCATTGGCGTCGATGTCGAAGGTCACCTCGATCTGGGGGCCCACGCCTGGCAGCAGCAGGTCCTGCACGTTCTCAGACTTGTCCCCCATCAGGATGGCCGCCTGCACTGCCGCCCCGTAGGCCACCGCCTCGTCCGGGTTGATGCTCTTGTTGAGGTCGCGCCCGTTGAAGAAGTCCTGCAGCAGCTTCTGCACCTTGGGGATGCGGGTGGAGCCCCCCACCAGCACCAGGTCGTGGATCTGGGCCTTGTCCAGCTTGGCGTCACGCAGGGCCTTCTCCACGGGCTCCAGCGTGCCCCGGAACAGGTCCGAGCACAGCTCCTCGAACCGCGCCCTGGTGATGGACGTGTAGAAGTCGATGCCCTCGAACAGGGAGTCGATCTCCAGGCTGGCCTGCGTGCTGGAAGACAGGGTCCTCTTGGCCCTCTCGCAGGCGGTGCGCAGCCGCCTCACGGCTCGCTTGTTCTGGCTGATGTCCTTCTTGTGCTTGCGCTTGAACTCCTCCACGAAGTGGTTCACCAGCCTGTTGTCGAAGTCCTCCCCTCCCAGGTGGGTGTCCCCGGCCGTGGCCTTCACCTCGAAGATGCCGTCGTCGATCGTCAGGATGGACACGTCGAAGGTGCCCCCGCCCAGGTCAAAGATGAGCACGTTGCGCTCCCCCTTGCCTGTCCGGTCCAGGCCGTAGGCGATGGCGGCGGCCGTGGGCTCGTTGATGATCCTCAGCACGTTCAGCCCCGCGATCACCCCCGCGTCCTTGGTGGCCTGGCGCTGCGAGTCGTTGAAGTAGGCCGGCACGGTGATCACCGCGTTGGTCACCGCGTAGCCCAGGTACGCCTCGGCGATCTCCTTCATCTTGGTCAGCACCATGGACGAGATCTCCTCGGGGAAGAACGCCTTGGTCTCCCCTTTGTAGCTCACCTGCACCTTGGGCTTGTCGCCGTCGCTGATCACCTGGAAAGGCCAGTGCTTCATGTCCGACTGCACCACCGCGTCGCCGAACTTGCGGCCGATCAGCCGCTTGGCGTCGAACACGGTGTTCTGCGGGTTCAGCGCCACCTGGTTCTTGGCCGCGTCCCCGATGAGCCGCTCGGTGTCGGTGAAGGCCACGTAGCTGGGGGTGGTGCGGTTGCCCTGGTCGTTGGCGATGATCTCCACCTTGCCGTGCTGGAACACGCCCACGCACGAGTACGTGGTGCCCAGGTCGATGCCGATGGCCGTGGTTTTAGCCATGCCGGCGTCCTGCGGTCCGGGCCTTTCTGGAAGCGGCGGTCCCGGTCGGGTCGGCGACGGGAACCAGAAGCTCGGTCTGTTCCGAAGCGGTTGTCTGAGCG